TTGAAAGCAATCTCTTATGCTCACCAAGGCTGCATTTATTTGTTTGATCAAAAATACTGTAAAATTATATTTAAATATTTAAAATCTAATTTATTTCTGTGATGCAAAGCTGAATTTTCAGCATCATTATTCGAGTCTTCAGTGTCACATGATCCTTCAGAAATCATTCTAATATTCTGATTTGATGTTGTAAACAGTTGTGCTGCTTAATATATATATATATATATATATATATATATATATATATATATATATATATATATATATATATATATATATATATATATATATATATATTTTTTTTTTTTTTCTCCTCTCCTCTCAGCATTCTTTGATGAATAAAAAGTCAAGAGATTTATTTGAAATATAAAAATATCTGTCTATCTAGACGCGTTACTATTAAGACTATCAGAGGACTAAACCGCAAATGTTTGTTTGTGTGTCTGTTCCAGGTCTGTGCAGGACGTGTGAGATCTTTGGGGCCAAAGCTCTGGTTCTGGACAGTTTGCGACACATTAATGATAAACCGTTCCAGGCGCTCAGTGTGTCTTCAGAGTTGTGGCTGCCAATGCATGAGGTGTGTATTTATTTCTGGCCAGATAAAGATTCTTTATTTGTATAGGCTATCAATTCTGTTCGGTTTATTTTTCAGCCTTTTTGACAAATATATCGGTTGCTCAAAACTAATCCAAACTGCAAACATAGTGATTTTTTTTCTTTAATTCAAAACAATTGTTTCCATTTGGTGGTACTAGGGGTGCAGAAATTACACACTGCAGCTTTAAAGAAATAGTTATACTTTCATATTTCCTCTAAGTGTGGGCTGAAACAAGCCTAGAGATGTTATTCTTCATAATCATGCATTACATCAGCCAAATACGTACTACACGAAACCATCAGAAGCTCGGTTTTGTGAGGTGAAAAGTAGAATATGAGCATTCTGTTGATTGAATCTGTCATGATTAATGAAGCCGTCGTTCAGAAATCTCAAGTTATCTCCCTTCATTTTTCAGGTGAAGCCTGCAGAGTTGTCAGATTACCTGCTGCGGAAGAAGAGAGAGGGATATTGGGTTATAGGCGTAGAGCAAACATCCAACAGCCAGAGTTTACAAGATTACACTTTTCCTGAGAGAAGCCTCCTTTTACTCGGGTAAGCCAACACCTCCAACTTACCGCCCAAATTCTGTCTATATGCAGTGGCCCCAAAAAGTGTTTGTACATCTCAGCCACACTCAAAAATATATGAATTTAAAACCAATTAGCAAATGTCCTAGCAGAGTAACTACAGAAATGTTTGACAACCATATTTTAAGTTTTTGATATTTTGTTATGTAATGCAAAGATGTTCCGCTAGATGTTCAAAAGTTACAGTGCTCCTTTAAAATGCATAATTTAAAACATCAGGGTTTTTTTTTTTGGACTGTCATGTTTGTTTTATACATCTTGAAAAACAATATTGACCCTTAATTGTTTAAATACATTTTGAGGCCATTGTACAAGTAATCTCTTTCGATTACTTGTTATGAAGAGCAGGATTGTCTTTGTGAAGGCAGGTGAAAATAGAAACGTTTCAGTGTGCGCTGACGGTGCAGTTAACATTATGAGGCTAATTGATGTGTCTCTCCCTGTGAGATTTCCTCACCTCTGAATGCTGAGAGAGAGAGAGAGAGAGAGAGAGAGAGAGAGAGAGAGAGAGAGAGAGAAAGGGCATGTTCTGACATGCCCGAGCGCTCATCAGCAAAACCACCCAACATTAATGTGCCATTTACATACAACAAGCATCAGCCATCACTCAGTCTTTTATTTTATTTTAATCATCAACCATAATTGTCATAGAACAGTAATCTAACAGCTTCATTTTTTTTATTTTTTTTTATTTTTTTTATGTACAGTTTAACAAGCATCAACCATAATTCAGTCTGAGATCAGTGATGTAGCAGCTTCAGTGTTTCAAAAACTGAGCAATAAAGGAACAGCATCTCACATTTTACAGCAGCTGTTGATGCAGTGACAACTAGTACATTTAATCATCGTTTATAAATCTATAAAACTTAAAGCTGCAGTCCGTAGCTTTTTTTGGGTTAAAGATTATTCAAAATACATATTTGAGAAAATACATAACCAGCCAGTGTTCAAAACTATCTGCTTGCCGTAGCTCGATTCAAAGCGGTAAGCTTGTAATAATGTTTTTAATTCCAATCTCCCGTGGATTTCCACGGGAGATTCGAGCTTGTCTTTGCGTCATTACTTCACATCTGTACACACAAAGAAGGAGTCTCGGCTAGTAGGCTATATTGCATGTGAGGATGCTGGAGGTGGAGATTTATAGCCTTTTCTCACAGCACTTGATATAATTAAACTTATCAATTTGATGGCGGATCCAGAAAGGTTCAAACTACAATCACCAGTGACAACTGGAGATTCACCCGTTGTAAAATGCAAAAGACTTCGTTCAGACTTCGGAGTGGCTACAGAAAAAAAGAGACTGCAACCGGACCCATGCGAAAGCAAGGATAATATCGGAAGGAAGGACATGTAGTCACGCAATGCTGACGTTGTTACCATTAACAATTTAAGTACAAAGTATAATTTGCACGGTTTTGCGTGATATTAGCGATTTGTAGATTTAATCAGCGCAATTTACTGCAATGACAGAACCAGAACAAAAGTGGATGTTACTTACTTGTTCAAATGACATTTTCCGGTGAAAATTATTATGTTGGTCATACTTCTAAAAAGTATAATCTGTGATTCTGAATGCCAGTATCCACACCGGCGCGGCGACTGACAGCTGCACACTCTCCTCAAAACATTGTGTTCATCCGCGCTGTGCCGTGTCAAAGTACAACTCACGTAAAGTTGATAATTCCGCGAATAACTGCAATTGCAGATTTCGAACAGAGATGGCGACAAAGAGGAAAAACTGCGGACTGCAGCTTTAAATAAAGCCCCAAAAGTTTTATTTTATATTTCTCTAGGAGAGCTGTTGTGTTGACCATATGTTTATAAGCAACAGGTTTGTGTTGTGAAACAGCACTGATACAGTATATTAATCACTAATAGGGTGTGTGTTTGAAAGAATCAACGAGGTTTTCATGATTTGTCTTGCTGCATCACTTATCTTAGAGGCAGTAAAGCCATCTGATGTTTCCTGCACATCACTGTGTTATTATGTCTGATTATGTCACTGATGCAGAGCTGTTGAGCAGCACTTTAAGTCAGACTTATTATTTAAAAGCTTGGTTTATTAGTTCAATCAGCACCTGTGCACTTCTTATCTGACCTCATCAGCAGGCCTACATTAAATTAGTTATTCACATTTTACAGAATGCATTTAAAGACCATGTAAATATTATTTTATTTGATTAAGCTTTAAGGTCATCTATATGAGCTTAGTGTAGCAGGCCTACCGTATTTCTATATTTAGAGAATGCATTTAAAGACATTTAGATTTAAAGATTTCATTTTTTTAAGTAATTAAGGTTATTATCTATATGCTAAAGTTGACAAACTTTCAGTAGATAATATACACATTAAAATTTAGAGCCTTTCTCTTTAAGGAAGATGTAGCAAAAAATACAGATGGCTGATCTTGTCCAAAGAGGCATACACACATTTTTGTCCAATATAATGCCCAAATAGCATTTGTATTTTCCATGTGCTTCATCCAAAAGGAAACACGGTAACCAAAAATCCACTTGTCAACTCATTTCTTTGAGATATTAAACAGGGTAAATATTTTAAACAGAGACTGCAGAGAAAGCAAATTAGTCAAAATGATTGGTCAAATTAATCAAAATAAACATGCTAGTTATCGTGGATATGTAGAACTGTGAATGATGGGTGGATATAAGCTGAGCTGCCCGTGGAGTTTTGCGGGTGCTGATTCTGTGTGGGTCTGCTCATTGGCGTAAAATTACCATTTTAAATGGCTTTATAAACTCATTAGCTTGACTTGAACATTACATTAGGGACCTTAGCATTCCATCGGATATGAATTTTTGAATTCTGCTTGGTGCATGACTCTAAAGTGTCTGTTTGTCTCCGAACAGTAATGAAAGGGAAGGCATTCCTGCAAACCTGCTGCAGCTGGTGGACGTGTGTGTGGAGATTCCTCAGCACGGTGTCATCCGCTCCCTCAATGTGCACGTGAGCGCCGCCCTGCTGGTGTGGGAATATACACGCCAGCATTTAGGACAAAACCCTGCAGCCCCTCGGTGCTGAATTTGCTGAGCATGTCTTCTGTGTTTTAGCAGAAAACATCTGTCAGTATTTGGGAGATGTTGCATTTTACACCATTTTTCTAAGGAAAAGTTGTGATGCAATTTGCATGGCAAGAGTCCCCAAATTTGATTAGAAATATAGAAAACTGCTTCATTCATTTAAATATGGCATCTGTCCATATACCGTCTGTTGTTCCTTTTCCTACCCTTTGAGTTCTTTTATTTTTCACTTTGTATTGACAAGTGTCGTTTGATGACTTTGTGTTTTATCTAACATTTTAAGAGAAGTATTTTAATATACCTTTGAATTTACATTAAATAAACAGTTTTCTCTCTCACAGTGACTTAGTTGATATTTAATTCACATTTACACACATCATGTTTGTTCCCACGCATGTAGCATGGATAAATGCAATGCAAAAGGTCTCAATTAATCACATCCATAGCCGTTGTAATCCCTTGAGAAACTAAGCATCTGTGTAAATATAGACCGTTTAAATGAGCCACATATTCAAGCGGTCTGTTTTCTCTAGCTGTGTAATTCACAAGTCAAGCGTTTGATTTTTCCATGTTGTCATCGCTGTGGATAAACTGATGAAGGGACCCTGGAGATAGTAAACTGCACTGTCAGGTGCTCACAGGGCAAATGAAGAACCAGAGAGGAGTAAGAAGCGAACTGTCTAGGCAGGTTATTATTTTGATCAAATACTGTAATATATTCTTAATCAGCTTTTTGCATTCTTATGGAAGATTTTAAAGCTAAATGGCCAGGTTGCTTGTGACACACCTGAGATCGGGATATCAGACTTAATCAGACTGCGTGTTTTTAAATGGAGTCCTCGGCTGGTGAGTGGTTTGATTCAGATGAGTCTGAGTTTCAGATGCGGACTGCACTGAGGAACTCAACCGTCCTGTCACCTCGAGCGCGTCTGGTGCTGGAGACTCTGATGGTGCTGATGAGTCTGGCCGCAGTGACGGGTGAGCTTTACACTACGCCTCATTAATGTGTGTGAATGTCAGAGATGTCATGTGGACATGAGAAAGTTTTGCATTTGATGTCTAACTATATATTTCGGATGAATTATTATGGTATAAGATCAAATGATTTGTGTTAAGTCGTATTAGCTGTAACATGCAAAGGCATTTTCTTGTGAATATTGTTTTGACTGGTATCTAAAACTATGCTAACAAAATCCATAGCCCTAATGACATCATCCGGCAGGATGTGACTATTTTGGTGGGAAACGACCAAAGTCATTAAGTATTAGCAATCAATTTGATGAAGTTTGTAGTGTTTTGTGGCATTTTGTGCTTTTGCCTTTCTCTAAAACATTCCATCCTGTCAGATATTAGTATGATAATATCAAAATTTTAGCTACAAAAGATATTTTCTTGATCACATTTTGGTAACACTTTACAATTAGGTTTCATTTGTTAACATTAGTTAATGTATTAACGAACATGAACTAACAATAAGCAATACATTTGTTACTGTATTTGTTCATCTTTGTTAAGATTAGTTAATAAAAATCCAGCTGTTGTTTGTTCATGATAGTTCACAGTGCATGAACTAATGGTAACAAATACAACTTTTGATTTTAATAATGTATTAGTAAATGTTGAAATTAACATTAACAAAGATTAAAAAATGCTGTAGACATTACTAGTTAATGTTTACTAATGTTGTTAACTAATATTAACTAATGAAACCTTATTGTAAAGTGTTACCTATATTTGGGGTGATGGCAAGAAAAATAGAAATAAAATACATCAATCAAAACTTGCTGTGCTGTAAGTTTCCGAACAGAAAACACTTTACTCATTCCAAATAAACTATTGAAACTAAACTGCAAAATCATTGCAGATATCTGTGCCTTTGTGACGTCACACCACATTGGCACAATATATAAAAAAAAATATTAAATGAAAATTTGGCATTGACATGATTTCTTTTTTGTTTTATAATAGAATTTGTACAAAATTAATATAAAATGTCTTTATTCTGTTTTTTTCCTCCTTGTCAGGAAACATTCTGGTCATTGTGATTGTGGCAGCCACAAAAACCTTCCACACTGTGACCTCCGTCCTGATCATTAATCTGGCCATTAGCGATTTCTTAGTGGGAATAGGCGTCATGCCGTTCGTGGCAGTTTCCATTATGAACAACGGATGGGTCAACTACAATGTTAGTACATAATGCTTTACATCCACCATTTATAACTTAAAGGTGAAGTGTGTGAGATGTCTGAACCACTAGAGAGACCAAACGGAATCGCAAAAGTAATGACTGTTTCCAAACGAGTTTCCCCAACATCTGCCAATCGCTGACCAAGCCATTAGTCCCGCCCCCAAACTCAAGCCATTGGTTGAATTAATGTTGCAGGTTTAAGGCCCGTTTATAACAAAAATTATGAAAGGATAACTTTCTTTTTATTATAAGTACCCCACAGTTTTAAATGCTCTGAGCTTTAAATGCAGTTTTAAATGCCTTCTTCTATCGTTATAGTTGTGGTGTGGACTTCACTATTCTCTTAGAGTTAAAGCCTGTTCACCCCGATAACCGCAACTATAACGGTACCAAGTCAGTACTGAAATTTTGAGCAATATTGAACGGATTCTTAAACATCGCTCAACATATTTGTCTCTAAATTGGCCATTGTGTTCACACGCTCAATCTGTGATTGGCTACCATGATCAACGCTTCAAAAAAACATGTCGTCTTTGACGCTCTTCATCAAGCGCTTACACAGATACACACGGGAGCGTTTGAAAGACTTGGTTACGAAGACTTTTGGACAACTCTACTAGGATGATTGACATTCTGAAACAAACCTAGCAATGTTTTGCATAGAACCAGTGTTTATTTTAACATTGATAAAAATTACATACATCACCTTTAATTTGTTTAAAGTTACAAAATAACATTTTGAGTAGGGATGCACTGATATGAAAAATTTGGCGAATACCGATATTTCTTTTTATTTGAAAGCCGAAAACTGATATTCTGACCGATAAATCTAAATCCAAATTTTTATATTATTTTTGAGAGCCTGATCACAAAAACAAAAGTCTCACCATTAAAAGTCATGTCCCAAGAACACAAATATAATGTTCTCATTTTAATTTTATGTAGCCTATATGACAGACTTGCGCGGCACATGCAGCACTTAACTGTATTTTCCTTTTTTTGAAGTGATTCTAATCATATTTCAAGCAATTCAAAACCATCACAGTGTGCATCTAAAGTGCCTTTTTTATCGGCTTTAATATATCGTCCACATTTTTTTATCAGGCCGATAACATTAAAAATGAACATATCCGCCACCATATTGGTATCGGCATATCGTGCATCCCTAATTTTGAGTGCATTAACAGATGTTTCTGCTCATTTTGAACTCTCTCTTGATCTTCCAGGATCTATGTCTGTATGTTGGCTACACATCCTCAGTCTACTGCACCGCGTCAGTTTTAACACTCGCCGCTATTGCCCTGGACCGTTACTTCTCCATCGTGGACTGCCTGCTGTACGGTTCCCGCTGCACGATATGGAGAACCGGTTCCGTGGTGATATGGATTTGGCTGCAAGCTATGTTGACCAGCTGTCCTCCTCTCCTCGGCTGGAGCAACATCAGTTTCGTGGCTCCCATGTACAGCTGTGCCGTGAACTGGCCCAACAGCCCAAGCTACACGGTCATTATGGTCTCCTTATCTTTTCTCCTACCGGCTATAGTCATCCTGTTCTGCTATGTGAAGATTGTCCGTGTGGCACGATACCATGCTAGGATGATCCACAGTTTGGAAGAACATCTCCAGCGTAACAGAGCCACATCTGTCTTGAATCTCCAACACTCATTCATGGACACCTACACACCATCCAGGTTGATTTACTATGTGAGTGGGAGGTTTGTGACGGATCAGTTGGATGTTCCTGATGAAGTTGCTCCAGATGCACCATCTGAGATGTCTTCCGAGCCAACTGGTGGACGTCTGCACTCTTTTATGGCTCGAATCCATAGCAGTAGCCCTCAACATCCCAGTCAACATCAGCATCATGGAGTTCTGAGGTTATTTCTGGTCATCGCCGCTTTTTTCTTGTGCTGGACGCCTTACATCAGCGTAGCTCTGGTGCAGGCCACCGAAACCGCCCTGTCCCGACCCAGGAGCGTTGTTCCCCCATCTGCTGTCACTTTCTCCTATTGGCTGGTGCTGTTTAATTCAGATATCAACCCGTTGCTGTATGCGCTCCTCAGCAAGCGCTTCCAAGGCGCCTTCCAGAGTTTGAGATGGAAGATCCAGGCCAGGTTGGGAAGCGTTGTGGAGAGAGTAGGAGCTGAGAGATCTACTAGTGGAGGTGAGAGTGACCCCACTAACAGATCGACCCACAGTTCCACGGCGCACTCCAGAAACGACGGGGAGTCGACGTACTCTTCCGTTTTTGCTCTCAGCTCTCAGTTTGCTCACAGCCTCAGGGAGCAACTGAATAATGTTCTTCCGGTTCTTCCTACTTGTTCTCGTCCTGTTTGTCATGAATGTTGTGGACGGGGTTCGAGGACGGTGGACCACCTGCAGGTTCCCTCCAAACAGCGTGAGCGGAACAGACTCCCTTATTCTGCTGCTACTAAAAAGAAACAAGCCACATTCTTTTATGGACAGGTCACAGTTCGAGTGGAACATATTTGCTGAGTGTATCGCATACAGTCCTGCATAATGGAAACAAAGCTGAATGTCATTTGTATTTTGTGGGTGGATGATTATTTTAATGGAATGTTATGGGTTCAATAAAATGTAAGTTCTATGATGCATTAAAAAGTTTAAATAATAATGTTGCCATAATGAGGTTTTAAAGAAAATGTAAAGTTTTACAAAGACAACTGAAAAAAAAATAATTAATAATTACTTATTTATTGTGAAAATTTAGCTGCCACCACAGGAATAAATTACATTTTAAAATATATTAAAATAGAAAACTTTGTTGTAATATTTAAGAATAATATGTTTTTGATCAAATAAATGCAGCCTTGGTGAGCGTAAAAAAAAAATCTTAATTGTTCCAAACATTTGACTGCTATCGCATATATTTATATAATGGATTATTTGTTAAATATAAATTTTTCAATATTTAAAGCAAAAATTTGTTTTATTTGTTTGCTTATGGTTGTAACACGGCCCAGTGTTTTAGAGGGCTTTAAAGCAGAAAAAGGTCAAAGCACTTACATGAATTATTCAGTATAAAACTGTTTTTATTTGAGCTTTTAACTTGTCTTTTTTTTAGGTGGACCTATTTTGTATGTGGATGAACTTGAGGTCATGCGTTGCTGACATGATTTCTGTAGGTTGTGTCTTGTCATGTGAAAGTTACTGGGGTTTACCAGCGTTACTTGATTGTGACATTTAAGTGAACAAATTCAATTTTTACACAAACAAGGTCGGTAAACAATTGTGTTATATTAGCCTCACGCTAACTTTCTTTTAAGTATACGTTTGAAACTATTTTAATGTTTACTGCCTGGTCTGTGTTCTTCCTTATAGGTGCTTTAAAGTAACTGCATTTTTAATTTGTACTGCCAGTTAAGTTGATGACCTATATTTTCCTCTCAATTTCACCATCTTCACTCTGGTCAAAAAGGCAGATTGACAGTGTAAAACAACACATGGATTGGAACATTGATTAGTACAAAAATAAAATTGCATCATGGTCTTTAAACTATGTATAATCTTTGTCTTGTCCGATGCATCCAATTCTGCGCAGAAAATGACAAAATATTAAACGGTTTAACATAACTGGCAGCTTTTATCTAATGAAAATTTGACACAAGGTAAATTCTATTTATTAAAACATTCCACAAATTCAATCGAGGGATAATTACTGAAACCCACTCAGATGGTCTGTGAAATTAGGCATGTTCAAAAAAAGCCATTCATTCTCAGCATAAGCCTGTTTGATATTCCTCAGTCTATAGGATTGGTTTGTTTAGAAACAAAACAAACAGAGGAGAAAATATAGGTTTACATGGTGCATGTGAAAACAGACAAAGCGGATCTATTAAATGGATGATTTATTTGTTTTCTTGTCATTTTCCTCAAATGTGATCGTAATGCATTTCAGTGTAAAAATCATTCCTTACAAAGGTTTACAATAATTTCTAGCAATAATTCCAGAGGAATACAATATTATATTTATTGTCATCATAACAATGACAATGGGAGACAGTGCTGATGAGATTATTGCAAATCAAAGAAAAGGCAGTGAAGCCATCATGTAGCATTTATTGGCGTTTTCTGCATGCGTTTTCCTGTAGAACTAATTTCCTTCCAATGGAACAGTCCACAAGATTAAAAAAAACAAAAATGCAATGCATCGTAAAAAAAAAAAAAAAAGTGACTGGAGTCTTATGAAGTGCAGGATGTATTTAAAGGTGGCTATCAATTCCAGTCACCACCTTTTTCAAAGCACATAGTGTAGGTGCACTTTTCAGAAATGGTCATACATTCACTGGATGCACATGGCACCCTTTAACGGTAACACATCTTGCTGAAGATTGCCTTTTCGGTTCGCCAATACTGCCCCGAAGTGTCCTCACAGTGGTTAGCATGTGACTCTGAAAAAAATGTGATGGAATCAAAGTATAGCTTCAGTATAAACAGTCTGGAGTCTGTCGTTAACCCCCTTAAAAATCTTCATTCACAGTTTAGGAAAGGACATCCCTTTAGACCTCAGATGCACCCATAGGACGGTAGAACTTTGTTTTTACAAGGAGAGCTGGACATCTGCAGTCTTCCAGCATCCCAGTAGACCTCAGCACCATGGTATCCTATTCCTGTTTCACTCTTTCTCCTTGACCCTCCAAATCGCTGTTAACAAACATGAGTTCAAAAACACCTTCATTCACAGTTTGGGAAGGGGAGGCCCTCAGATGCACCTGTTGCTAGGTAGAACTTTGTTGTATGAGAAGACGGCATATGTTGCAGTTCTTAATGTCTATATCAATGTTTGGCACATGCTCTAATGGGCACTGGTAGTGATTCGTGCCAGTCAGTCTGAGCTCCAAAAAGAGTGTAACCCATCTGAAGATCTGCAGGGACTCTTGGTTGTGGAGATATTGGTTCATGGGTCTCTTGAGCAGAGGTCTCAAACTACCACTAGCCTGGTAAAATCCTCCATTTGGGCCTGTTTTACGACCATACAGTTGAACTAGATAGAGTTAATGAGGCATGGACAGAGCCATACATCTTTCCTTCATACCTAGCATAATGCTTGCATGTTTAGTGGAGTAATAATGCCTTGACTTGTATTCTAAACTTTCAAAAAAATTATTTTCTGCAGTTAGCAGTGTAAGAAAAATCACAAGCTAGCTGTGACATAACAATCAGAAATATTTCGATATAAAAAAAGACTACAAAGCTATATCAATCTACATATGATATTCAAAATATTTTTATATATATCAGACAGGCAAATTAAGTGGCTGGAGTAGTGCATCAAAAATAGCAACTTCTATCCACTGAAGACTTATTGCCACAAAAAGACTGTTCCCTGTGAAAACCGCTCCTGTTTGAATCTAGTTTGATATAGATGCATGTAACTCAAAACTTTTCTGACTTTGACTTATTTCCTGTGCCGTGCAGTGTTTGCTTGTTTTTATTAAACGGGCTACAGTTGTTCTTTTACATTCAAGTTTTAGGCCTGTAAAAGCCATGTGGATAATAAGAAATGTATAAAATTAAATTGCAATATATAATATACATTAAATTACAACAATATATAAAATAAAAAATTAAACATTATTCATTGAAATAAAATAAAATGTAAATAGTAAAGGTTTTATTTAAAATATAAAAAATAAAATAAGTCTATAAATGGATTTGTGGGCTGGATTTAAGGATAAACTTAACACTTGATAGCCCAAAATTGGCCCGTAGGTCAGTTGTTTGAGACCCCTGCTCTTGAGTTCTAAGACCCGTCATTGTTCCAATCCACTTACAGTTGCGAGATGCGCAAAAAAAAGGTTTGGCTTTTGGAAATCGTCTGTTATAATGTGCATGAGGGTAAATGATGGCCTACGGAGTCTCGTTGACTGAGGAATATTAGGGAATGAATGCCCTTCCCAGCATCATCCAGTCACTGGAATAAGAACGGGAGAAGGTTTGTGCGTGTCAGTGAGGAAACGTGGACATGGAGGTCCTGGCCCGTCGGGTCCAGTTGAGTCCTGAGCTGGTTCCGGTCTCAACCGGTTCAACAGGCTGTTCCCGCTTTCTGAGTTTGGTGCCGAGCTCAATTAAACACTGATCCCAGTCCTCCGGTAACAGCAGCATTAGGAAGCCCAGACAGATGATGAACACAGCGATGAGTCGCACTGTATTGAAGTGGATATCACAGGTGTACAGGTCCACCACTGCAACACCAACAACACACACTTTAGAGCCACCACGGCAAAACGTCTATGAAGTTGCAATGACTGCCCACTTTGCTGCACGTACTGATTTTGCCGATTTAAACGCGTTCCTGGGTCAACATATTTTGTTGATCCTGGGACAACATTCTGGTCCAGAAATTTAGTCCAAACCATATCCCTACCCCTACCCCATAAGCTATGCCTAAAATCAGAAGGAAATGCTTGGTGAATAACATTGATGTAGAAGGACCTAACTCGTCTAAACTTGACATACTGTTAACTTGTCCCTCAAATCTGACTGGACTGTTGTTCCAGGATCAACAAAGATGCTGATCCAGGAACATGTTGCACTTGGTGAAATCAGGTTCTGCCACTTTGCTAGCCTCAGTGGGACAGGGTTCAAAAACAGTTTTACAAAAACCTTTAAAAACAGATATACAATGAACTAAGAATGTAATTGTATATATCCCCTTAAATCAGTCAGTGGCACAACATATAGGTTTTCTATAAACAAGTTTGTTTTTATATATAAAAAAAGTTTACTTTGATGTAAATTAACTCACTTGCATTGACAGGGACACTCAGCACAATGCCGAGTGAAATCAGCTTAGGGTATGTAATGGCAATGCCAAAATTCACCAGCATATTGAATGCTGCAGAAGAAGAAAATGATGAACAGTTATATAAGTTATATATCTTAAAATTCACCAGAATATTGAATGCTGTAGAAGAAGAAAATGATGAACAGGTATATATCTCTTAAGACAGTTTTTCTAATTGTTGCACATTACATAAATAATACTCTAATAATATACTTTTTTTCTGTCAGTATTTTATTTACCTAGTAAGAGTCCAGCCACTCCACACATGTAGGCCCAAGGAAGATCAGCTATGGATGTGAAGTACTCAACATGTGTGAAGTACAGTATAACTGGCACAAAGCTCATAAAGACAAAGTTTGCACCGCCGACAATGGTTAGAAACAGAGCCGCCTCTCCAAACTTGGCACTGCCCAAGACGAGCTTGAAAAGCACCTGAGAAAACAAAAACAAATAGACCAGCTCAGATAAGTTTGTTTCGGTTAATTGGTTCATTCAAGTGGTTCATTTCAATGATCATTCAATGCTATTCACATTATACTTGTTTTATTTGAGCTATAATACACTCACCAGCCACTTTATTAGGTATACCTGATCAACTGATTAACTCAAATATTTAATCAGCCAATCACAGAGCAGCAACTCAATGCATTAAGGCATGTAGACATGGGCTCGGTCCGAAATCGCATACTCTCGCAACCGCTAAAAAAATAAGTTCTTAGTATGAATGTCTGTAGTAAGCTATGAATGTAATCTGGACGTACTACATTCACCATGTTGTCATTATCATGTGACCTACCCGGGTCAGTTACGTCACTTCA